GGTGGAGGGGAGCTATGGGGGGAAAAAAGAGGAACAACTGTAATAATCTGAACAATAAAGATTTAATTTAATAATAATAAAAAAGAAACAACAACAACAACAACAAAAAACAGGGAAGAGAGAGGAAGTACCCGGTGGAGAGCCTATATTCCCACTTAGTACTATAAAAATACATGAACTTCCTGTCAGTTGAACTAACTCCATGGAAAGTGGCAGGACTGAAGCCGATTGCTAATATATCCCTCCTCCCAACATATACACCCATGAGTGGAGTGATTACAGTCCAGTCGCCTTCCACAAGCAAACTCATGTGTCCTTGCCACCCCAGATGTAGGGATCCAGAAGTAAAAGGCTCTATACTAGGTGGGGAGAGAAAGCAGTAAGACTCTCTCCCAAGAGAGGGGACTATGACAGGGAACCCCTAGAGAGCCCTCATGGAACTACCATATGTGCCAGAGAAGAGCCAGCATTTGGACACCTGTTTCATGGATAGAACCAACAGAAACATCAAAACAAACAGAAGGCAAAGTGTAAGGAGACCCTGGTTGTCTGTTTCCCCCTGGTTGCTAGAATATGCTTTTAGCTGCCCAATCCTAACAGTGCCAGATCATGTGTATGGGCAAAGTTTTTACACTCCTCCTACATTTTATTCATCACTAATCATGATAAAGCTGGCATCTCATGTGTAAGAAGTCTGATTGGGAAATGAAAAACAAATAAAACCTAAAAAAGGAAATGTGGATCTAGAAGAAAATAGATTGATAAGGGTCATAAAAAACCAATCCTCTAGAAAAACAATAAGAACTAAATTCATTTCATAAAAATATATTTAAAAAGGAAAGAGGCCTACATACCCAAATGCCAAAGGAAAGAAGGCCAGGGGGGAAAGGTGGTCATGGATTCTGTTTTGAAGTCAGGAGAGAGACCAAGAAATAGTAAATCCTCTATTTGAGGAAGGCAAAGAACCTGGGCTTTAGTCAGAAATTCAGCCTAAGAAAGTTTTCCACTTTTTCAAATGGCCCTGTCATAAACATCTCCAGTGACAAAGATCTAGCCTCTCTGCAAGTATCTAGTTCACCGTGCCCTTTTGTCATCAAACAAGCTTCTCTACAATAGGCACCAGAGACAAAAGAACAGAAAAGCAGAGGTGGTTGGCCCAGATTAACGCTACTGGCCAATGGGATTCTTCCTAACCTTCAAGTAGATATTAATCCTGCCACTGTTTAAGTGGAGAACAAGAATATTCAGCAAATGGTGACTGCACATGACAGGAGTCCCACTGATCTATTTTTCTTCTTGCCCACTTTGTCCATAAAATCAGTTCCTTACTACATCATCAAGGAAAAGGTTAGACTGTATCATCTAAAAACCTGTACCGCCTCACCTCCACCTGGCTCAACTGGAAAGACAACTGTACACTGGCTGAGCTGGTAAAGGTCATCAGAACTAATTACAGTGTTAACTAGGATGAGATCTGACATCACTTGGAAACAAACTGCAAATACAAATGGCTCAAGAGCTTGCCACAAAACTCATCTAAATGTACTGTTAACTTCTCCATAAATAAAAACATCCCCTTAAAACAAAACCAAGAGCTATTGAGGCTTCAGACCCAGATAATAAAGACTAGTATGTAACCCTAACAGACTGAAATGCTTATGCTCTCTCTGACTCTATCTTAATTCTAGCTAGCCTGTGCTTTTCCCATGGCCTTCAGGAGAATGGTTCCTGCATATAATTATAGATATGCTAATTATTAAGGGAATTCTGCTTGAGGCTTGAGCTTTTGGCAAAGATTTGCAGGAGCCTCAAGATCAGACTCAGATTAGCAGGGATCAAACAGACCAAGAACAAAAAGATTTAGAGATTTCATGCTCTTTCTTTGATCCCTGTTGGGGCCTAGGTGTCGCACACTTCTTGGTTTGCCCGTTCTCCCTTCCTGTCACATAAAAGAAGCCTGAATTCTGGGCTCTTATAAAGTGGACTTGCAGAGGCTGTAAGGTCCCAGCTTATCAAGCTGGCACCTTCTCAATTAACAAACCTTTCTTTACTCCAAACTGGCATTTTGAATATTGGTCTTTTGAACCATCAGGCATCAGAACCTTGAATCAGTAACATAACATCTTTTTCTAACCCAAATGTGATGAAATCAAATCACACACACAAAGAAAATCTTTGGAAAACATGTGACCTCACTTAAAAATTAATGTTGGGAAATCCATGTTGTTATATTTTAACCAGGCAGCAGCAGTAAACCTCGCACTCTGGATTATTGATTCTCAAGGAGTCAACTATTTGGACCAGATGATGCTTCTGACTTTTGTCTGTATTGCACATCATTAAGAACAAGGTCTATAGACATTGTGGATGTTGGGGATTATTGTCGGCTTTGTAAAAGAAGCTTTGTACTGTCAGGATGATTTTAGCAGCAAGTATGTACCAAGTCCTAAATTAACAAACTGGCATTAAAATAAACAAATTTATTATTTCACATAATGAGAAGTTGGGAGGTAAGATCTTTCAAGGGTTGGCTACTTTAGGAGTTCAGCAATGTCATAAGGCATCTCTATTCTATTTTCTGCTGCCATCCTAAGCATATTGTTTTTTATCCTCACGATTATTTCCTTCGTAATTGTCCTCAAGATTTTGTCGTCCTCATCTAAAAACAGGTAGAAATTTGCCATTCTTTTTTTCTAGGAATGGAATGAACTTCTCTAGTAGCACTGCCCCAAATTAAAAACAGTAAGCAGATGAGAGAAAAGAGTAGCCTCAGACATGGGTTATAAACAGCTCCTTTATTATAAATAATCAAACTTGATAAAACTGGAAGAAATATTCTCTTTAAAAAAAAACAACTTAAATATGGCTGCCCAAAATAACTAAAGAACACAATGACCCATACAATTAAATTCTCTCTTCAAATATCAGCACAACATGTATATATCCCCCAACCTGGTACATTTTTATAGGGTGTTTAATTTTTCCTAAAAGCATATTACATTAATCACATTTTGTTTAAATTATTCTGATGTCACCTTTATAACAATCATCTCTTAAATATTTAAATACCATGAAAATACAACTTGGGTCATTTTGAGAAATTCCCATTTCAACTCAATGAAATATGTCCATATAGTTACATATTTTACTCTTTTCAGAGTAGGTCACCTCTAGACCTCTTGGAATATTTCACCCTTTTCTACGAAAGTGTATGCGACTCATAAGTTCTCTGAACTTCAGTATTAAGGAGTTGTCTTTCCATGCTTCATAAGTACTTCTAAATTTGTCATAATAACTTTCTTTTTTCAGGTTGAAATCTGATCCAATTTTTTTAAAATAACTATCTTTCTTCCAATATTCTCCCCAGGAGTCTTTGAATTTTTCCAAATAAGATTTTTTTTCATATTCTTCCTTCCATATTCCTTCTCCCTTTTTTAAGGCTGTTAATTCAGCTTTAAGTAAGCGTTTGTGAATTTTCCAATACATTTTAGAATCATGATTTAGTCCTTTAACAAGAACAGTTTTGCCAAGGCCTCTTCTCAAAATGTCTTCATTTAGATTCACATTAAAAAATCTACCCTGGAATGAAAAATAACACAAACCAATTATTTAAGAAAATTGCTAGTAAGCCCATACCATCTATTTATTTTAAATTGAGTCATTCAGCAACTTTAGTCCTCCAGAGAAAAGCCAAAAAGCAAAAGGGTCCCCAAGGGCTTAAAATAGCTAATTTATAATTCAAGAATTTCATCACTAGAAGAGATACTTGCTCAAATTCAGTTGCCTGTTTTATAACATATCACTCTCAGCCTCGCTGTTCTAACCCAAAGAGGCTTAGAAGCAGTAAAATGTATAAAAAGCAGGTTTTTTGTTTGTTGTTTTGTAGAGGAATGGATCATACAAGATAGGCAAACTGACAGAAGGCCACAGTAAAAGAAACTAAAAAGTAAGCAAATGCAAAATGAACTGAGTCATCATGAAAATATTAAATTAGGTTCAGAATTCCAGCGTTTTGGAAGGCGCTAGCATATAAATGAATTTTTTAAAGACTTTCCACAAAATAATTAACATAAAAATAGGCCTGACCTGGAATCTTCGTCCTTCAGAAAATTTCATTCATGGAATCCCTCACTTGCTAGTGAAACTGGATACATGGGATTTCCTCTCCCCACACCCCACTAAGTTACAAAGTAAAGGAGATCCTGATTAGCTATTTCTATAATTCTTGTGGGACTTTAACAAATTACTGTATTAATAATTTCATAGCTTCATTAGACAAGTAATTTACAGTTAAATTCTAAAAATGTGAAAACTCCAGGTTTAAAGTAGGAGATGTTTTCTAGGACTATCTAAAGAAAAAGTAACCTTTTGCTCCTTTAAATACAGCAACTTTTGCCCTAGCGAGTTTGGCATAGTGCATAGAGCATTGGCCCTTGGACTGAAGAGATGCAGGTTCAATTGCGGTCAAGGGCATGTATCTTGATTGCAGGCTGGATCAGGTTGGGGTGCATACAGGAGGCAACCAATGGATGTGTCTCCCTCACATCAATGTTTCTCTCTCTCTCTGCCTCTCCCCCTCCCTTCCACACTCTCTAAAAATCAATAGAAAAATATTCTCAGTAAGGATTAACAAAAAAAAATCCCACAAAATAAATACAGTAAGTTTTGGTATAGGAGTTAATAAGTACAGTTTTTTAAAGTTTATCATAGTTTTCTCAATCATTTAAATTTTAAGAGCTCATTCCCTTACGCCAAAATCAGAATAATTAAAATTCAACCTCACACATTAGCAAAATTCAACAGATGTGTAAATTACCACAATATACATATAGCACCGTTTGGTCACCTGCTAGGAAGCAATACAAGGTAAAATACACAAGGTGAAGTGTGGGCTCAGAAGCCAGAAAGAGCTGGGTTTGAATACAGGTTGGTTACCCTGCCTCCCATTGTTGCAGGAAGAATGAATAAGCCAGATTTCCCAGACACAAGTGGGAATAAGGTTCTTGGGATACAGCTGAAATAAGCATTTTCAGAAGACCCCATGGAGGATGGGATGTGGAAGAGGCTTTATTTGCATAAAGTTGTATTTCTTGGGTTGTAAGGTCCCCTACCCCTTAAGCCAGTCCTGGAAAAGGTGTAGCTGGGATTCCAGCAAAGCCAGAAGCAAGGCCGGTGTCCAGAGCTTCCATTCCATGCTGTAGCCCCGTGTAGTTTAGCATCCAAGTTCATTAAAGCCCATTAATTCATTGTGGTGTGCCTGGTGGCTGTGAACCACATGGGCACAGGGGAGCACATCCCTGTCACAGAAGAGCCCTGCACGGGGCGCCAGAGAAGAAAAGAGAGAAGGAAGGAACTTCCTTTGTTTGGAAGTTTAAATATTCAGGTTTCAAGCACTTGTAGTGGCCACGCCTATTCTGGCCAATTACCTGTTCCCAGATGTGATTGACGGGAAAGCACCTTCCCATGTCACTCAGAACTTTACTGGGCATGTGTCTCAACTGTCCCTTCCCCCATGGTTCAGCAGGGGACAGACTTGGGAGTGTTAAATGTAGCTTTTTGGCAAAGCTGAATAAATGGTATGCCTATGTGAGGTTGAAACGGCCCCTGTGAGGCTGAGACAGCCCCTGTGAGGCTGGGACAGCCCCTGAGAGGCTGCAACGGCCCCTGTGAGGCTGAGACGGTCCCTGTGAGGCTGACACGGCCCCTGTGAGGCTGAGACGGTCCCTGCGAGGCTGCACCAGCCCCTGGGAAGCTGAGAAAAATACCACATGATCTCACTCATTTATGGATAATAAAGACCATTATAAACTGATGAACAAAAATAAATACAGAGGCAGAGCAGCATTGAACAGACTGTCAAACTACAGTGGGAA